ACAGCAATTGGAATAATTGGTACTGAAATTGACACTTTCGACCAGGATTGGCTAAAAGTTTTACAACTGAGGTTTAACACGCCCAGACGCAGGTTAAAACGAAAACAGACTAGAAAAAGGTTTAGATACCAATCATAGATGGCAGAACTAGTGCTGAGGTGAAAGGAAATATCTTTAAAAAAATTTTTGAAAAAAACATTTCTTCTTAGAGGGCGCTTATTTACAGTCTAAAACATATTTTAGGAATTTTTTCATTAAATTTCTCTTTAAACTTCATTAAAGAATACAATTTTGTACAAATAATGGAATGTTATGCTACTATTTATAAAAATAAAATCAGAAATTCATTAAAAGATAAGTTCTCTATCATTTTTTCAATTCACAAATTCACACTTGCATTGCCTACTAAGAAAGTTAGTACCGGTAGTCATCGGGTTAAGAAGCAAACAAGTTTGATAGACTTAGCCTGTGAAATTCCTACTTCAACTTTTTCTACTTTGATTAGTGAGATTCTTTACTGTATCACACAAAAGAATGTTCAAACAAGGTTATAAATTTTTTTTAATGTTTGTTTGTAATTCTTAGAAATATATTTTTGGTTATTAAACCAGTCATTTAGCTTCTGATCAAAGTGAATTACCTACATAGATCAGAAGTAAAAATGAATCCATTAATGTATGTACGTAATTTAATATACTTTTCTTATGCTGTCACTGAACATGATTAGATTTCATTTTTTCATCAACTGGTTACCCTCTTTGTAAATTATATTTTTGTCCATAAATCCAATAATATCTCACAAGGTTTGTGCAACTTAGGAAATCTAGGTTAGTCGTAAGTTAACAGTGCAAAATAATCCTTATAATAATAGAAATTCAAAATTGATATATTAAACATTCTGACCAATACTATTAATATAAGCAATATTAAAGAAAGAATGGATTACTTAAGTTAAAGAACATATAAACTCTACTGGTTTAACTTATGCACTATCTCAGATTGAATTGCATGTGAGGAAAAGGGTGCAGAAACTCAAAGAAAGGAGGGGGAGCTTACAAGCAAAATATTCTCAACATTTCATAGTATACACACAAGTCTAATTTGTCTTGTTGCTTTCAACCCTTGAATATGTATATATATATATTTACAGTACACAGATTTATGTAATACTATTAAACAAAGTCAGTTTTACCTTAGCAGTGACAAGTCCAATATTTAATACAGAGTTAGGATTTGGTGTCATGAATCAATATAGTTAGTTTTAGAATATTGTTGAACATTAAAGTTAAAAAGAGATATTGTTACTTCATTTTGAACTTCTGAATGGATATTAATTATCATATTATTAGGATTTAAAGGATATACTGTTCCTGTATGTTTTTAGAGAAATGGTTAAGCAAGACATTCTGTTGTGGGAGCTTGGAAAACAATGGCCTTTTAGCTGTTATGGACATCTTAAAAAGCAGGGCTGTTTCCCAGGGTTTCTGGACATTTCTCCTGAAGAACTCAGGTGGACTGCCTACTATGCTCAAAGAGAAGGTAACACCCAGTCATACGTAAGTGTAATTTTGCAAGCTTATGCAAGAATATCATTTTACTTATTATGTTAAGTTTGTGATTTAGTATTTGAACAGTAAGATAATTTTATAGTATGTGATGTCATTTCAAATTTATGATTATTCCATATCCTCTATCTTCATACATTAATTACATTTATTGTTTTTTGTAAGATGAAACCTTCTTTGTTATTATGATATTGTTTTTTGTTTCTTTGTTTCGGATCTGTATTAACTAATTAGTGCAGCCTTTTAATAGGAAATATATTTTATGATAGTTTTGTACATGTAGTTTGAAGACACACTTCCCTCTAAATTGCACACATATGTATGTGATTGTGCAGCAAACTTGCATGCTGTGTCACAAACTGTGTTTGTTTACATCTTCCTCTTCAGTCATAAGTCATTCTTTTCTCTGCCAGTTGCTACAGTATAGTGTATGACATCCTCTGCAGTACATTTGATTGAATATTATTTACTTTTATTTGTTTTTGGTAAATGTCATTAGTTTAGAATACATTGATTTAATGTTAGAAGAATTTAAAAGCATATACTTTTCTGTATATAATTTTCTGAACATTCAAACAACTCTGGGACAATATAAGTGAGATTTTTTTTAGTCGAGTAAATACTGTAAATTATAGTGTTGTGATATGATGGTGCTTCTGACATTAACTGCAAAATATGAAACTAATTCTCCTTTAGTTGTTTTTCAACATTCTTGATGTTGTCTTGGTCACCTCTACAGTTTTAAAGTGCTATGATAAAAAAAAAAATACATTTTCTTTTCAATGCATTTGTACAATTCAAGCAAGATTGTTTGTTCAGTGTACCAAGATTTCTAATATGTAAGATTGCCCAAAGACAAAAAGTAGTGCTCATTAAAGTTTGTAACCCACTCTGTACAAAGAAACTTTAGAGGGAACATTGTCTGATGATATCATCATTCTTTGTCAGTCCAACAGGGCACTGTGCTCTTGAAACATTGTGTTAGGTTAAGTTGTAGTATAGGCAAAAATGCACTTTTCCTTGAATGTGGATCAGGAAATTAAAACAACAAGCATGAAGAGGATGTTGATTTCTGAAACAATTCACTTACCTCTCTGCACACAGTAGTTACTCCTCACACTTCTGCCTTTGAAATTTTGTGCATGCCAATTTTGTGGGCTGCATTGATAAAGCAGAAGGGGATTGCTGCCCATCCCTGCTATGCCTGGAGTGTATAACTTAGTATGGTCTGCTTTTCAAAATAAGGTTTTGTGGTCATTTATTGCACTGTCTTAGGTGATGACATTCTTCTGGACTCTTCACTGCATTGTCACCCTTCTTTCTTTGAATGGAGTATGGGAGTCCTTACCACTTTCCAGTTCCAAGATGCTGGGGAGGATAACCATGGAGGCACCCTGCTGAATGAGTTCTGCACAATAACCATTCAGTTACAGAGGAGGGCAGTAGTGTTTTGCTGGTGTAGATGATGTGATATTCTCCTATTTGCAATTCCCAATAACAGTGGAGGTTAGTACCCTGCGAGCAGATTTTAGATTTAGAGTGGATTGATCAACATAAGTCCTCACACAGGTTTTATGGTTGTCTATCTTTCTCCCTCAATTTCCTCCATCTGTGTTGTGGGTCACAGCAGTGGTATGTGGGATTGTTCCTCTTATTATGGGGATGTTATTGCCATTTGGATGGTCCCGGCCTGTTTTATGGTTGGGGAGAATGGATTGCATGTCAGACATCCTTTTGATACCAGATGTCAAGGTCCTGGATTGATAGCTCAAAGCTAATCCTCATTTCATACCCTGGAAATCCCCCAGTTTTTGGGTCCACCGCACCCTAGCCACTTTACACCTGGGGTGCATCCTTTGATTACCCACCTTTCTCATTGTGGGATTGAGTTACAGAATATTTCTGTGGTTAGGATCACTTTCCTTCCACATTCTCACCCATCTCAGATGTGCTCCTTTCATTTTCTGCCCTTCTATCTTACACATTCCACAGTTGGGTGAAGAGTATACCTGGCTCAGAAGTGTTGCAGTTCCCCTCTTCTGAGTTTCGATTTGAATCTCTCATTTCCAGGGGTATCCTTCAGATGCTTTTGGAGAGTACTTCTTTCATTTCCTTGCACTGGTTCCTCCTCCTTATCAATGTGGGATTCTAACTAATCTTGTGAGAAGAGGTAAGCACCATATTAGAAGTTATAATTTTCCTATACTGAAAATGTATTTCCGATGGGTACTTACCTCCTCTCAAACTTCCCACCCTTCTTCTTCACATTTCTTCGGTGCTGACATCTTCTGCCAAACTTCAAAGTGATAGTTCAGTAGAGGAAGTCACATAAGCATGTAATGCTCCTATTGGTGACGAGGTGACACATGATGGTTTGCTTGAGAGACATGTTGGAATCTTGCAATTCCAATAGGGGGAATGGAAGACTTGTGGCATGTGTAAAGAAAAAGTTTGCATATAGAGGGCAGCACTGACCAAAAATAGCTAATCTTGTGAGAGGCGGTAAGTACCTATCAGAAATACTTTTCAAAATATAGAACATTTTAACATTTTTAGGTAGTACTTTCCTATTGGGTCATTATTTTCTGAGATTTTATGTTTAAAGTATCTGAGAAGGGTCTCATAATTGCACATCAGAATACTTACACTAAAATGTCTAGATAGCCACTTCATTTAGAGATTTAAATGATACAGTCTTATTTTTTGGGACATTTAACATTTCCTTAAATTGTTCTCTTCAGACTGAAGATCTGCAGAAGACTGTATAAATGGTTTTCAAAAGTGTTCCTATTTCCTTCATCATTGGTACTTTCTTTGAGGCATTGACTAATCCCAAATCTTCTTGTGTTGTTCTATTAAATGTGGAATGCACTGCTTGCCTGTAGATTGTTGAGATTCTGTTTCTACAATTTCATCCAGCCACTCTCCTTTCAATGTGAGGCAGCATTTCTTCTTAGGATTTGCCCCTTTGTTAGTTGACATTGTTTGTCTTTGTTTGAACATGGCTGTGAAAAGGATGTGCTTTTGTTGATAACTAGAATCTCCACAAAAAATAATTAAAATCAGTAATAATTTCTAAAATTCTATATTAAACTCTGACCTTTTAATCAATTAGTGTACTCAAGACTTTACTAATAGGGATAATATTTAACTGCTTTACAATTTCTTTTTTAATTTTTTTATTGAAAAAATACTATATACTGATTTTAACCTTCCAGTCTTGACTTGACCACACTATGGTCAATGAACTTTAACATTACAAATGTTGCTTAGAAATTGCAATTGTCCATGGTCATAATTTGGAAAGTTAAATGATAATTTATTGAGAAATGTGATTGTGAGAATGGAAACACAAACATACAGATACACAAACCTTCATCTTAATAATGCACTATTGATATACAGTTATGGTAGACATAACATGAAAAACTTGTTCTTTATTATCCATCTATATATTTTAATTTATTTTATGCATTCAAGAGTAAAGACCATTTTTGCATGTTGCTATATATGTTTGATGTGAGAGAAGCACCTAAGAACAGATTATAACACTTTGGAATAAATAGTTGTTTAAACATTTGTTTAACAATAAGTAGAAGCTTGGAATGGTCTATTCTTTCATTAGGGGTGTGTCTCATCAGTGACCCTAGACACTACCACCAATGAAATATCAGACCAAACCAAGCCTTTATCGTAGAGAGGTATTGAAAATTAAACTGGTGTATTTAAGTGTTTTA